CCCTTCTATTAATATCCATCTCAAAATGGAATGATGATTTTCAACTTTTTTTTGTTAAAATTTAAAATTTATTTTTTGTTAAAATTAATTTAATTTTAGTATTTTTATATTTTTTTGATATATAAATATTAAAAATAAATTTTAAAAAATAAATAAAAAATATTATTTTAATATTTTTCCTAACAAAATGCTTTAAAAAATAATCACCATACATCTCCAAGCACCCTCCTCACAAATGATCGAGATGTGATAGAAACTCTTCATCAGGTATATGATAATGAAGTGGAAGAGCTAGATCTTCTAGTGGGACTCATGGCAGTTACAAAATACTTAAAAAATAATCACCAGTAAGGTATATGATAATGAAGTGGAAGTGCTAGATCTTCTAGTGGGACTCATGGCAGAGAAGAAAATAAAGGATTTGCCATTAGTGAGACTGCTTTTATTATATTCCTTATCATGGCATCCAGGTGTGTGTATGTGTGTATTTTACATAAAATAGCTTTTGAGCCAACAGCTAGAGGCCAGGTATTTTGCGTCCATAACTCTATCCAACCTCTCTTGTTGTCAAAACGGAACAAATTTATCTTGCAACAACAGAGATAGAAATCTAAGCAAAACTGTTGGCTTTTCATTTGTACCTTTTCTATGCTGTTTACTTAAAGTTTTCCATGTACCCCAGTTATTAATTAATAACTATCATGTAATCTTTTTATTTGATCTTTTAGTTAATCAACCTCTACTCTATGTTGTTTAGCCTTCGTCTTTGTTGGCCGTATTTCCTGGAATCGTTTGAAAGGTTCTGAGAATGTGATGCTGCCCTGGTTCTGATCCTTGGATTTGAATTTCAGCCATTGTTGTTTTGTAAGATCACATCATAGTGGGGCCCAAAAGTATTGAACAGAGGGTGCTAGCTGCCTCGATTGCATCTACCTGTTAGCTTCCAAATAACCTTGCTTGATTACATTTAGTAAGAACCTGGTGAATGCACCATATTATAATGAGAAATGTTCCCTCAGTGGGGCATTTGATGCGAGACGTGTAAAATTGTTCTGTCTTCTTGTCCAACTATTGCTTCGTTAGTCAATCAATAAAGCTAGTACCTTGTGATAATCGATATATACAACTAGAATTGAGAAACAAAACTGTAAACCTTTACTTCTGCTCAAAGAAAAAAAAAACTGGGAGCTAGTTTTCTAGGCGAATCCAATGTTTTCATTCTAGGAGTCTAGTTTTTGTGGTGTGTGACTATGGAAGGAATGAATAGAGGGAAATATGACAAGGATGACTGGGAAGAGTTTGGAACTGGGAGTGATGATTGTTTTTCTTCTGATAATGTACTCCCTCACAAAGATTCCTCAGAAGGAGGATGTAGGTCCTCTAAGTTTGAGCAACTAGAACAGCAGAAAGAGCCATTTTTGGATTACAGACAGTTTGAAGATCTGGAGCTCGATGTCCTTTGTCCACCGCTTCCAGCATGTCCAAATCAAATCGCAATGCTTCGAGAAATCCAGGAGGAAGTTGAAGATATTGTAGCCCCCATGACGCAAAATGAAAGTCCGTTTTCTGTATCCATACTTGAGCTGCTAAAGGATTATACAGCGGGTCGTAGACGTTTGAGCGTTGAACCAAGCGATGCAAATTTGGTAGGCCAGAAGTTGTCAACTGAAGAAATCATGAGATTTGCTGGAGTGAAGTTTATTCAGTCTTCTATCCAAAAGGCTGGTGTTGGCTCCCTGCTTAAGTATCCTTGCGATCTTTCCTTCTCTGGTCTCTCTGACGAGGAGATAAAAAATGTAGAGCTTGCTGAATGCATGCTGGCTTCCGCTGAAAAAGTAGGCAATCAACAATATGACAGTGCCAGAAGATTGCTAAATCAATGCGATCTCTGGTCTTCCAATACTGGAAATCCTGTTCAAAGAATAGTTTATTATTTTTCCGAGGCTCTTCGAAAGAGAATTGATCGAGAAACAGGAAAAGTGGCATCTCAGGGTCTGGAAAGTGAGCTATTTGATGTCGATGAAGCAGTGATGATTCCAAACCCCATTATCCAGGCATGCTATGAAGGAATTCCATTCTACCAGGTTCCACACTTCGCTGGAACCCAGGCCATTTTAGAGAACATGGCCGGGGCAAAGAGGATTCACGTAATTGATCTGAAAATCAGTAATGGACTGCAATGGACTGTCTTGATGCATGCTTTAGCGTCTCGAAATGAATGCCCTCTTGAGCTTCTCAAGATAACTGCTGTGGGGACCAATTCAAAGCAACATATTGAGGATACAGGTAAACGTTTAAAGAGTTTTGCTCAGACAACTAACATACCCTTTTCTTTTGAGATAGTTATGGTATCAAGCATGCTTGATCTCAAAGAGGATCTCTTTGAGTTAGATGCCGATGAACAATTAGCTGTATACTCTGAATATGCACTAAAGAGCTTGATTGTGCAACCAAATCAGCTGGATCATTTAATGAAAGTTTTCAGGAGTATCAATCCGTGTGTATTGGTGATGATTGAAATAGAAGCAAATCACAACTCGAGGGTCTTTGTCCATCGTTTCATTGAAACTCTTTTTTACTTCAGTGCATATTTTGATTGTGTTGATGCATGTGTGGAACATAATGATTCATCTAGCAGGATGATAATAGAATCCATCTACTTAGGCGAAGGAATCAGGAATATTGTGGCTAGTGAGGGAGAGGAAAGGAGGATTCGAAATGTGAAGATTGATGCGTGGAGAAAATTCCTTGCACGGTTTGGAATGGTAGAGACAGAACTGAGCGAGGCATCCTTGCATCAAGCAAACTTTGTTATCAAGAAATTTGCTTGTGGGAGCTGCTGTACATTTGTTATTGATAGGAAAAGCCTGCTTATTGGGTGGAAGGGCACACCAATTCTTTCACTTTCCACTTGGAAGTTCATGCCACAAGACTAGTAAGGATTTGTCTGTTCAATTGCCAACAGATTTTAGTTGTTCCTCTTTTGGTGGAAAAATCCTGTTACATAAGAATTTGTCTGAATTTTTAATTTTTTGGACAGACTGTTTAAAGGCAGTTCTTAATGAATTTTCTTTTGTACTGAATTAAAAATTTATAATACGTGCTGTATTCACTTTACTGTTGAAAATGATTCTGCCCAAATTCCTAAGGCAAGGCCCCCATATGAATAAGAGTAAGCTTGATTTCAGGGATACCATTCTTCTTGGGAAAGGGGTTTCTGGAAGAATTTTTGCTAAAATTAGCATTTACTCAGCGAATAATACACTGAATGGATAATTTCAAACCAGGCCCGGTATCAATAAAATTGCCAGGCGCAGCCCTGCAAGATATCTGTCTAATTTCAATTTAACCCCTTACTGTTCGTTTAGAAATGTACGAGGTCCTACTTTGATTAAATAAAAGATCTTATACATAACTGTCCTTAAAATCCCCTTCAGTTTCTATCCTTTGCCTAGCTATTACATGTCGCATGACACTGAGAACCATTATTGGCTGAGCTTCGAAAGTCACAGCTTTGGAAACAAGGATAGTTCTATCAGTAGAAAGTACGGTACACGAGGTTGTTACGCTATTAGAAGATTGAAGCTGCGATTTGGTGGCCATTCTGGCAACACTCACATAGCTGCACAAGCATGGCTATTTATAGCCAACATACACGTTCTATACATTTTTCATCACTAGCCAACCGACTTGTGGTAGACAATTCTAGAATATTATTCAAAACATGATTTAGTTTCTTCTTTAGAGGAATCATTCCTCACACTTAGCCTTTAAGTCTTCTACGTGCTTCCTCCATTATCCTACAAAATATCTCAAGAAGTGTATTAACTTTCAACAGTTACATCAAGCTTTCAAGTTTCTGCGTGCAATGTTGCAAGCACCCTTCGATCCCATCAACACCAAACTGGCTGTATTTGATGTTCTTAGCTATTTCCGTGGAGTTCAGGGTGATTTCAGTTCAACACATAGAGAGCAAGGAAGGAGAGAACAGAGGAGATGAAATTCATTTCCGTAGAGCTGATAATAATATAAATTTAAGTTTGACCTAACATTGAATAGGTTCTTCGTTCAAAACACAACACGCTCTAGTTCTCTATTTTAATTAAAATTAATTTTTAAATAATTTTTAAATTCAAAAAGTTTTTAGTCAAGAAGGCGTGTTCGAAAATAGAAGAAACTCACCTAACAAAGAGACCTTATTGAACCCGAGAAGGAAAAGCAACTCCAATTCTCATCAGCTTCACTTTTACAGTTACCAAATCAAGCCCGCAGTCTCAAGCGATTAAACAGCGAAAGACAAATTGAGCCAAGCAATGATGAATTGTCCACTGAGATAGTCATGCGAGAATTGTCAACTGAAGAAATCATTAGGATAGCTGAAGCAAAGTTTATCCAGTCTTACGAAACTGTCGATGCTGACATCATCCATCCTTTCTGCTGACGAAGCTAAAAATGAGTACTTAGCTTGCTGAACCTCTTCTGGCTTCTGCTGAGAAAGTAGGCAATCAATAATTTGACAGTACAAGCAGATTGCTGGATTTATGTAATTATTTGTCTTCCAATACTGGAAATTCAGTTCAAAGATTAGTTTGCTATTTTTCTGGAGCCCTAACATACCCCCTTAACTGATAAAATTTCCCCGCTGCTTTTTTGTCTTTTCCTGCTGTTTGGATGCAGATACATTTTCAGTCTCCTGAAGAGTTTTAGAAACAATCACCCGTTTCTGTTTTCACCTCACAAGACAAATTAGCTGGTAGCATGGATGAAATCGACGTGTCAATATCAAAGTTGTTGTTATCTCCATTCACTTTGGAATAGGAACAAAACATTTGATGTCGATCATCCGTCCATAAAACATGGTATAAGAGGGAAAGCAGCGGACCAGTTTCCATTTTGTGATTGTAAATGGCATTTTCTGGCCCTGAGATTCAATTTCAAGGAAATCTAGCACGTAGTCTAGCAAGAAACGGACCTTTTCTTAAGAAGAACAGGAAGGAGACATGGGTTTTCATTGTCCAGGACTTGAAACCAAGGGAAAATCACATCTGAAACCTCAAAGCCTAGGGGAAGGGAAGGGCAATCAAGCTTCATTCTCTTTAGAAGCATTTCAAGTCCTGAAACAGTATGAAAAACGAGTGAAGCATCTAAACAAGGAAAAATTGGAAGAACCAAGCAATATCATAGAATGCAACAGCGCTAATGTCCTGGCATTATCAACAGAAGAAATCATAAAGGTCGCAACAGCAACTTCTCTTGAATACCATCTCCAAAGATCTGACAATCTCCCCAGCTTGTCTTTTGGTTGTGCACCTTATGATCTCACCAGTGATGGTGTGAAATACGTGGAACTCATTCAATTTCTTATAGCCTCAGCCGAGAAGGTTGGCCAACAGCAATTTGATGACGTGAGTGAAATGCTCAGTATGTGTGATCAAATGTCTTCTGCGACAGGGAATCCAGTTCAAAGGATCGTTTACTATTTCACCGGAGCACTTCGAGAGAGAATAGATCGAGAAACTGGGAAAATAACACCCAGAGGATTGTTTACTATTTCATCTAATGTGGAAGAGGCGATGGTGAGCTTGAGTCCTGCCATTCTTGAATGTCACCAAAGAATGCCCTTTTGTCAGATTGCACAGTTAACCGGAATCCAAGCTATTGTGGAAAGCGCAGCCGATGCAAAAAGGATTCATGTCATTGATCTAAAGATTGATTATGGGGTGCAATGGATAGCATTGATGCAAGCTCTTGCGGCTCGGAATGATTGTCCCACTGAACTACTTAAGATAACTGCTTTTGGGACAACATCAATGAGTAAAATTCAGGAGACTGGTAAGAGGCTGGCACAGTTTGCCGAAACTGTGAACTTACCCTTTTCATTCAACATAGTTATGGTTCTCAACATAAATGATCTGAAGAAAGAGTCCTTCGAGTTGGAAGATGGAGAATTCATTGCCGTCTACTCCTCACTCTTTCTTAAGAACTTGTTAACACAGCCTCATTGCTTGGAATCCTTAATGAGGGTAATAAGAGATCTTCGACCACAAATAATGGTGATCACAGAACCGGAGGCAAACCACAATTCACAAGCTTTTAAAGATCGTTTTGTTGAAACTCTCCTTTATTTTAGTGCAATTTTTGATTGCCTGGAAGCATGCATGGACCGGTCTGATCCAAGTAGAATGGGAGCAGAAGGTCTTTACTTAAGTTATGCCATAAAAAATATTATTGCAAAGGAAGGGAAGGAGAGGACATTTGAATGTGTAAAGATTGATTACTGGAGGGCTTATTTAGCAGAATTTGGAATGGAAGAGACAGAGCTGAGCATGACGTCCTTGTATCAAGCAATTCAAGTAGTCAAGAAGTTCGCTTGTGGGAGTTACTGCACACTTGATATGAATGGCAAGTGCCTAATTATTGGATGGAAGGGAACGCCAATTAATTCCCTTTCTGTTTGGAAGTTCTGTTAGATGCAGGCTTGTACTTCTTTAACTTTTTGTTCAATGAGATTTGTATGATTGATATTTCCTGTTCATAGAAGTGTTTTTTTTCTCTTTTGCTAGCATGCTTAATAGATTTTTGGGTATGCCCGCCTGTGTGAGCAGCTATAGTGCATGCCCCTAAAACTATGTTGCAGGCTTTGTGGAAAGTTGTATGTTTTACTTTTAGCGACCAATGAAAAAAAATAAAAATATATATATATATATATATAAATTCAAGCTTAGATTGAGTCATCAACATTTTAATAACCATTCAAGTTAAATTAACATGCAAAGCCTTTGCATTTTGTTTTCTGTTCTTGTTTTCTACTCTTCTCTTTTCTCGGCTTATAAGAAAAAGATATGTAGAAAGGAGCCAGCATAAACTTTCTCTGAATGAGCCCGATCCTTGTGTCTTCATATAATCACAAGAAATGTCTAAGAATAAATTTAAGCAGGGCACAAAGTTTTCTGGAAGTTTCTCATATAAGTAACTTTTTTCCATTTTCTTATCACTCTCCAAGGTTTGGAGAAAACCATGAAATTTCAGGTTATAACAGCAATGGTCATATCTAAGATTTAATGTTGTCATTTGCTATGAAAGAAATGGTCCATCTGTCTTCAATTGAAACGCTTCTTTCTGTCTGTTCATGTAGTTTAATTGTTTAACTTCTTCATTTTTCTGATCATTTAAAGCTGCATGCGTACAGCCGGCTGATGCTCTCAGGTAATTTTTTGCCCGAGCCTTGTTGGTTCCATTCTAATTAATTAAGATTCTTATATTAGACTCATGAAGACAACCTGTATACGCTAAAGAAGTATTTTGTTTTCTAGTTGAATATCCTTGCATAATGTCACTGCAGGCTGATCCGATAGCTTCAAGAATTATTCTGGTCAGATTATTCTCCATCAAAAAACAATTCACAAGGTAGAGAGAAAATTGGAATCAATTGTCTTGTTAATGGTGACAAGAAGAAACTATCCACTTCCACTCATCTACCTTTGTAAAACAGTAACATACTTCAAAGGAAAGTAAATTAGTTCCTGTTTCCGAATGTGAATCATCTTCTTTATTAGAATCTTTCCAATTTTTTTATTGGTTCTGAAGAAATGAAGCAGTAATATTTTTTAAATAACAAATTGGAGGCCATTAAATACCTCTCCAGAGTAAAAAGCTAAAGGACCAAGATGAAGCGCTGGAACGAAGAAAAACAAGAATAGCCAAGCTTTGCTACACTTGAAGCCTTGAACTATGGTTCCTGACAGTAGATTATCAACTGAAGAAGTCATGAGGGTAGCAAGAGCAAGATTCATCCAAATTTCTTGCCAGCAGCACATTGATCTCTCCATGCTTAACCATTTCTTTGATGGCCATTCTGCTCAGTTTGGCTCATCTGGCAAGGAGATAAAAGACATGGAACTTGCACTACTTCTTCTAGCTTCTGCTGACAAGATTGACAATCAGCAATTTGATAATGCGAGCAAATCCCTTAACTTGTGTGGTTTCTTGTCTTCCAAGAGAGGAAATGCAGTTCAACGAGTTGTTCATTATTTTGCAAAAGCTCTTGGAGAGAGGATTGAACGAGAAATTGGGGTTGTCAAATTAACTGGAATGGAAAGCAAAGGTCAGCTATTGCATCCCGAAGAGACAACAGTCACTCTGAATCCAGCTCTTATTGCATGTTCCTTACGACAACCCTACAGTCAAGTTAGTCAATTCGCTGGAATCCAGGCAGTTATAGAGCGTTTGACCTCTGCAAAGAAAGTTCATTTTATAGACCTTGCCATTAGAAGTGGAGGGCACTGCACAGTTTTGATGCAAGCTCTTGCTAATCGACATGAAAGCCCAGTCGAGCTTCTAAAAATAACTGCGGTTGGAACAACGTCAGAGCAGAAAATGGAAGAGGCAGGTGCAAAGTTGTCCTGTTTTTCTGGGACCTTGAACTTACCATTTTCATTCAAAGCTATTACAATTGAAAACATCAAAGATTTAAAAGAAGATATGTTCGAGTTAAGTGATGGAGAAGTCGTAGCTATCTTCTCCAGGATTATGCTGAGAACCATAAAACCACACCCTGGTTGCATGGAATCTCTTCTAGGAGTGCTAAGGAACCTAAATCCGCGTGTGATGGTGATCACCGAGTTTGAGGCAAATCACTGCTCACCAATATTCATAGATCGGTTTCTCGAAGCACTATTTTTCTACAGTGCATTTTATGATTGTCTTGAATTAAACATGGATCCGTGTGATCCAAATAGAATGACACTGGAAGCATGTCTGGGACAGGAAATCCGAGATATTATTGCTTCTGAGGATGATAAAAGAATGTTCCAGCACTTGAAGATCGATGGCTGGAGGGCTAATTTCGCAAAGTTTGGAATGGTGGGAGAAGAACTGAGCACGTCATCTTTTTATCAAGCAGAGCTGGTGCTTCAGAATTTTGCTTCTGGAAATTTATGCACACTTGACAGGAATGGAAAATGCCTTATTACTGGATGGAGGGGAACTCCAATTCTTTCGGTTTCTGCTTGGAGGTTCCATCAACAGGAACAGAAAAGGAAGGTTGTACCAAGAAATATAAATCATGTTAATGGAAATGGTTAGTTAACAGAACATCTATTCATAGAAATAACAAGCACAAGGCCTGCCCTTGGTCACTTGCCTGTTTTTTTTTTAAAAAAAAATTATAGTTTTCAATTAAATTCTATTAAAGTTCAAATATATCAAAATCAAGTTAGAAGATTAAGAAATATTGGCTGGAATCTTGTTATTTTAATTTGGGTAGAATATTTCCTTGATTTCTTATGAAGAAATTCCTTGAGCTAAGAAATCTTAGAGGACAAAAATGTCTTCCATCTTGATTTCAGGAGAAAAATACTTTAATTTTCATGTAGAAAATCTTGTTCAAAATCAATGCAATTCAAATTCCTCGTCGGTTTTTTTATTTGATTTGTTTAAATCAAGTAAAATATTTCTAACCTTAAATTGTGATATTGTTAAGCAGATCTTATTATACAATAATTAGGCTAAGATTTCTTGTGATATTGTTAATCAAGCTCTAATTATGTTTATTTCAATCTTGAAATTCGCCTTAACATTGTGGAATTTTTTTTATTACTAAATCTTAAGAAACGTAACTGTTTTAAATTTAAAATAAAATTTCATTTTTTTAAATGAGTAATACTGGAGCCATAAGATTTTGATTATAAAATGCTTTATAAAAATATTTTTGTGTTGTATTCATCTATTTCACACTTATCATAATAAAAAAATAATTAAATATTTCAAAAGATAATTTTAAGGATGCTCGAAATAGAAATACAGAAAATAGTATTTTAAGGTTGCATATCATAATAAAAAATAATTAAATATTTCAACAAATAATTTTAAGGATGCTCGAAATAAAAATACAGAAAATAGTATTTTAAGGTTGCGTAGAATAGCAAGTAGTTTTGAAGAATTAAGAAAATAGAAAAAAATCAAATAAAGTGTGTGCGTATTCATCTATTTCACACCTTTGGACGCGTGGGCTAAGCATGCTTGGGCCAGGCTTCCCTGTCCCGGATGCTAAAAACAAGTAGTTGTGTTTATTTTTATATTAAAAAAAATTTTAATTTTTTTTATTATAAATTAAATTTTTTATATTTTTAGATACTAATATAAAAAATAATTTTTAAAAAATAAAAAAATATTATTTTCATATAAAAAACAACTACAACACAAAACACTTCAAAATAATATATACAAAAACATTCCATAATATTAAAACACATTTTAAGCCCACCAAAAACAAATCAAATTAAAAAATATGATTTTTTTCTAGTTCATATCCCTTTTTTTTATTATTTGGAGCATGTTTGGGAACACAATTTAATTTGTATTTTTTAAAAATTTAAAAAAAAATTGTATTTATTTTAAAAAAAATTGTATTTTTAATATATTAATAAAAAACAACTACAACACAAAACACTTCAAAATAATATATACAAAAACATTCCATAATATTAAAACACATTTTAAGCCCACCAAAAACAAATTTTCTCTTTCTTGGGTTTTCTTTCACTCTATCTAGGGGCTAGATCATAAGATAAATGAATTGTAGGGACCCAGCTAGACAAACCTCAAATCCAAGGATCAAACTAAAATAACTAGAAAAAACAACTTAATGTTTTAGTGAAAACTGCGTCTTTAGCAAGCACATTCATGGTATCTTCAGCGTGGAAAGCCATTTGTCTGGACAATTCTGAATCTGATGAAACCAACTTAAGGCTTTGGGATTTTCTGAGGGGTCTATGTCATAGCTATGGATGTAACTAGTCCTTAAATGATTAGTTGCGAGATTATTGAAGTTAGGGGAAGAGGACCAGAACCCACAGAGGGAATACGTTTTGGAACCTGGGGGCAATTTAGGGTAAGCATGGAAAATTCTAGTTGGCTGAGTTTGGATTAGTAAGGGACGAGCCCGGTAAGGTCAAGCGGGTACTCATGAGATCCTATGAGGTTAGAGAAATGGCTTTCCAAGATCCCCCTCAGTTGTCCCACAAAGTTTAACTAGATTACTTCTAATTTCTTGAACTACTTCACTCAATTTTGTCATTTCAATATGGCACTGGTTTGTACATGTGATTACAGGTTGGGAGAAGGAAAGGCTGAGGTTCTCTAAACTTGAGATTTTGTCAGAGATCTCATAAACATTTTCTATCATGAGCTCTTGTTGCCGGCCCATGGGAACACTAGCATGAGAAACCTGTTTTGCAATAGCCACATCCCAGTAAGCCAAGAGATAACCTTCAAGCCTCCAAAGGAGGCTTAATATAAGAAAGATTGAGAGAGACATGCTTGTCTTTAAGTTGTAGTATCTCCTTTGTGGTAATAGCCATTCATAATTTGGCATGTAAGAGAAAAACAGGATCACAATTAGATCTTTGTTTAAGATGAGGGTTGCAAACGATCTCGAACCATTAATTTTCCAAGGCACTATAAAGCTAATTTATTTTATGTCAATACTGGCACATGCACTGAGGTACAAGGAGCCTGAGCAAATATTTACTCTTTTATGTTCAAATTAAATGTTGAGCTAACATTGGGAGCAGAAAATCACAGCAGAAGACAATATGTTATTGCTAATGGTACATGGATGAAAGCCAAAAGCAATGAATCCATATCTCCCAGTCACGAGGCACTAAATTACCGAGTCATCAGCACTTTAAAACACAAGATTTGTTTATGGTGCTTTCATTGTTTACTCTTCTTACAGACTAATCTGTCATGCTATGACGCAGAATACTGGCTATTTAACCATCACACTCATCTGATTGGATGTGCATTTATAAATTTCATTTGTGTCTGCAACCCCATTCCAGCTACCTGCTCTATCTTTTCCAACTTTCTCAGCGGTTCTTGCTAAAAGCTAACCCCAGCAGCTAATTGCAAATAATGATGCAGCAGCGTATGGTTCTCCTTTTGTTTTCATCTGATGTGCTAATAGCATTCTAGCCTGTTCTATCATTTCTATTTTGGATGTTTCCTCTTGAGTATTGCGAAGTAGCTGATAGAATAGTATGAATTATTTGCTGGAGCTACTGCTTTTTGATTATAAAAGCCTGGTGTTGTTATAGCTAAACCTTGTGCATTCTAATCTGTTATTGGAACTGACTTAATTAGTGCCGGTCATAGTATGACTGGTCTTTGGTTATGCGAGTTACATCAGAGCTAGCTACTACTGTTTCTGAGTTAGGTCTTTTCTAGTAGGCTGCATGCTGTAAATTTGATTTAATCGGTGAGAGCCATATCAAGTATTATTTTGGTTGAAGTTATGAGTAGCCTGTGCTTTAAGCAGTGTCCTCTGCTAGTGCTATTCACTTGCGGCGTTGTACTCTTTCCAGGCACTTTTTGTTCTTCTTTAGATTTAACCTCTACTGATTTATCCCGAAAAAAAATCTTGAATGACTGAGGTATGCATGGGATCAGTGCAATTGTGGTGGGAACTCTACATCTAATTTTTACAGATTCAACTTCTTAATGTTTGATAGGCACAGAATGCTGATTAACTATTCTATTCACGTGCTCTCACAACCAAATATTTGTTAACTCATCTTCTATAACCTTTATTTCCCAATGTGAGAGCTTCCTTGATGCATGCATGACCGGTTCATAACCATCAGGACTTTGCCCACTGTAATGAAGAAAATACATTTATTAAGTAAGTATCAAAATAGAACCATAAATACCTTGCATTAAGTAAAGATCATGGACACAAAAAAAATGCAATTTTCATGTGAGTGATCAGCTAAGAGAAGGAGCTTGGATGGAAGGGGGGTACACAAAGGATTCTGAGAAGTGATTAAAGGCAACTTGATGGACTGTTGCTAATCAGCAGTCAACTTTTCAATCATGTTTCCATGGTTGAAGGCATTAGTAGTTGTAGACGTGAAAACATTTGCTAAACAGTTTGGTAGAACCAGGCCCTTGATTCAATGAATGAATCACCCTTGAGAATTTTTACGTGCAATAATTACTGAATTGATGACATCGTCCGAAGGATGAAAGACTGATAGAACTTCAAAGCCCTGAAGATCACAGGGATCAATGACAGGATATAGGAAGGCTCGAGCACCATTTGCCGACCTCATTAACAGTAAAGTTCCAGGAGCCATGTGGTCGGCCAAGTGTTTAATGACCCGAACTTTTTCTTCTTTGTCCATGCCTACCAGAGCTGCCAGGAAAACAACTTCATATTGTTTTAAGCTGCTCGACACATTCATAATATCTGCAGTGTGGAAGAACATTCGTTTTGACAATTCTGGATCTGATGAAACCAGCTGGATGGCTTTGGCATTTGCTGAAGGGTCGATGTCAAAGTTATGAAAGCAAGTGGTCCTTAAATGATTAGTAGCCAGGATGATCGAGGTGAGGGGAAGAGGACCAGAACCCACAAAGGCAATACGTTTTGGAACTTGACTGCAAATTTTGTTAAGCATGGAAAACTCTACTTGGCTGAGCTTAAGGTAATTGGAATAGTAAGGGAAGATCTTGATATGGTTAAGTGGTTTGTCATGAGATCCTATAAGGGTAGCGAAATGGATTTCTAAGAGGCCCTCGGCTTTCCCACAAAGCTTAATTAACTTACACCTAATAGCCTGAACTCTTTCATTCAATTTGGTAATGTCAATGTGGCATTGGCTCATACACGTTTGCACAAGTTGGGTGAAGAGAGAATTAACTTGCTTGGAAGGATTGAGGTTTTCTAACCTCGAAAGTTTGTCGTAGATCTCACAAACCTTTTCTATCAACAGCTCTTCCTGACAACCCATGAGAACACTTGCGGGGAGAGTTTTTGAACAATAGCTAGAGCTACAATCCTGGTAAAGCCAAGAGACAGTGATCTTCAAACCTCCAAAGGGGGGCCTTAAATATGTAAGATTGAAACAAGTGCCTCTCACCAGGCTGTGCATCTCCATTATAGCAATGGCCATTAATAGCCTGGCACGTTTAGGGAAAAGGGATTCACAGTAAGATCTTTCCTCTTAGATGAAGGGAGCTACAGATGGCCACAATCAACCATTAAACTAGGCATGCACTGTAAAGCTAGTGCTTTTACGTCAATATTAGCTCATGCTCTAAACATGCGAGGAGTAATCTCAAATCAAACCTAGTGTTACTTTGGGTGAATATTGGAGGCAGAATATTACAGCAACAGACGATAGGTTATTGCCATTGGAAGCTGGTATGGAAAGTCTAAATGAATGAATCCATGTATCCCAGTCACTAGGCACTTCAGTATAAAAAGCCTCGCGATAGATTTTGAACCGTGAGTATATTGTGTCCACATGATGTTGTCATTACCACTGTGGTTTTTCTGTAATTGTATTTTAATGGGTATCAGATCAGATCTCATTACCCTTGATGGTCAAAATTTAATGGTTTTTCTGCCTGAACGTACGAAGAAATGGATCGTGAAGGCCTAATTACAAGACTGGAAGAAAGCCCATGATACAATTAAACTAGAATGGGCCCCGCGATACGAGTTATCAGGCCCAATACAAGTAGCATGATAGAATCTAATATAACCTTTCTTGTCTAAGATGATCTCCTCCCACCAACACCTTGATTTTAGATTCGAGGAACCAGTAAATGGCAGTCGCCCTGACAGTGAGAGCAGTGCATGTCCCTCTGAAAAAATTCCTACCAAAATCAACAAGAAATAACAACCTCAACTACGGGAAGAAGAAGATGATGCCAATCGTTTCTTCCTTCCCCATCAGGACGGAGCAGAACGTTAATAACAGAAAGCTTCCTATACTCCTTTTTGACATCATGGACACCATTGTTCGCGACCCATTTTACCATGACGTTGCTCCTTTCTTCGGGTCCTGATTCTACCCTTTTTTTTCTTTTTTTCCTTGTTTTCTTTTTCGATTTCTATTGCTCTTGGCTCAATATGATTTGCTTTTATTTTTATCCCCAGAATGTCTTTCGAGAAATTAATAGAATCCAAGCACCCAACTGCTTGGATTGAATTTGAAGAGGGGAGGGTTGATGAGGTACTGTTGCAACTGGCCGGCATTCACAAAATCCACCTGTCTTTTATTAGTATAAGACGACGATATCAATTTAAGAGTTCAGTACTGAGAACAGCATTTCATAGATTGTTTCGCTCATCACTTTTTTTTTTTTTTTGAATTTGTGTTGTCTGTGATAGATATGCTATGATTTTATTTGATGAATTTAAGGGAGAAATCTTCAACGCAAATCTCTGTTGACTTTTTAAAATGTAGAATTCCGTTGGTATTTATTCATGTTAATCTTTGAGTTAACAAGTTATGATGGATTCTTTCAGATGGAGTTGGCAGGAAAATTCTTCAAAGACAAAAGATCTTTTGATTTAGAAGGTCAGTGAGAACTTAAATTTTGAAGATATGAACTTTTTTTCTTTTTGTTGATTATCGTTTTTTTCCTTTTAAATAATTGTGTTGGTTCTATGAAATTTATAAATAATGCTCTCTTTTTTTATCAATCTTACCTTGGGGACTGAGTATTAGACATCCAACCTCTTGTTTAAGCTGTTCGAGTCTTCTTATTACACTATACTTGTGGCAACCTCTTTCTACATCATTTTTGTGCATGATGCGTGATTGAATGCTGACATGTATTATGGGATTGCGCTGCCTATACTTTGACATGCGTGCAAACTTTTGTGCAGCCTGAATATAGTTTGAAATAACTTATTGCTTAGCTGAATTCACTCTTCCATGAGTAATAAAACCAAAGCTTGTACGATGTTCTTTTATAGCCTTTCACAGGAAACGCTGTGAGTGAGCCTTATCATGGTTGATGGTGCTGTTGAGGTTAGATATCTGAGCAGAACTGTCAAAAAAATGCAAATATATGCAATCTTATATTTGATTTTCCTTGTACATTTAGATAATCAAATATGTTATTTCTGTTAAAACATTTTGAACTTGTCCAGTATGCATGTCCTGTTTGGAATTTAAATGCCTTGGTGTCTTTGGTTGATTCTCATGCCCATGCCATAAATTTCTAGGAAGTTATTCAACCTAAAACATTCTACGTGGAATGCAAAATCAGTTCAAGTTCTTGAATGTGGAATCATCAACTCAAGTTGTAGTTTGATATTTTTCATGATGGAAATGAGAAATTAATTTTTTTATAACTTCTTCATTTATTGCCCATGCTTTTCATCCATGTCTGTAGAGGCACTAATTTTGCTTATCTGTCTTTGCAGGCCTCAAAAACTGTATGAGGAGAGGATATTCCTATATAGATGGTATTGAAGAGCTGCTTTGCAATTTAAAAGAAAATAACTATGAGATGCATGCTTTTACAAATTATCCTGTCTGGTAAGATGAAATGCATTTTCCATCTTGCTGCTTATTTGGTGAAATGGCTCCTTGCTTTCTTCTGAAATTTTTTTCCGTAGGTACAGACTGATTGAAGAGAAGCTAAATATATCAACATATTTATCTTGGACATTTTGTTCTTGTATGATTGGTATGTCCTTCACTTTGATTTTGCCTATGCTTGTTATCAATGCATGTCTGCCTGTGTAGGCATGCCAGTGTACCAATAGTGAAGGTTGTTGGGAGAGACTGGCAACGACTTGAATTTCCACCGTAATGTGTCTTTGGTACATCAGTGGTGATTTTGGACTTACATAGAGGTTATTGATTGATGATAGTTATTTAAGAGTTCTTTGACCTTGTGGATTATGACCTATCAATATCATTTTTTAGTACTTTGGGAAAGCCTACTGGCTGCCTTTTCTTGGTCATTGGCTACCCCATCCAAGAGACTATATCGGAGTTATTAGTTTTCTGTTCTGTTTGCATTTTGTGGGAAAATGTACTTATTTGCTTTTGGTTTGGGGAAGGTGGTGTGTGTGCACGAGTGAGAGAGAAAGGGTGAGGGAGGGGGAGTGAGTCTAGTGGAGTTTTTAGTTTGGGTCTTTAATTACATTTTTGGAGAATGATCATCTTAGCTTGGCATTTCAGGAAAGAGGAAGCCTGATCCTGATTTCTATCTGGAAGTCATAAGACATCTTAAAGTTGAGCCAACAAGCTGCATTTTTATTGATGACAGGTTGTTCTCCTTCTCTCGCAATACTCAGATTTTATTATGAGTTATCAGTTATGATTCTTCTTGTTTTCACGTCTAGTAAGTTTTCCTGTGGCATGAATTAGTGGTTCTTGCTGTTTAGAATGGGGTGGCAATTTCTTTTTAATCTAAATCAGAGAAAATTGGTTTGGTTTCAGGGGCGGTGCATCAGCTTGGTTTCACCGTGCCTCCCCAAAACAAAATCAAAAATTGATTTTAGTCCCTTAATGTTAGACATGTTTTCATCTTAGTCCCCCAGAAATTATTGCTAGGCACCCCCTGAATTTTCAAATTGTTTCTTAACATTCCTAGATCCTCATCATAATTCAAATTTGCCACCCCCACCCCCCGTAAGAATTTGGTCCACCCTCCGTGGCTTTTTGGTTTGTTTATTTGCAAGTGGATCTAGGCTGGGTGATCTTCAATCAACAGTTGCATTGCTAGTGTAAGTTCTAATCTAAACACCAAGGGTTACTGTCACAGAAAATTCCATATGCAATAATATTTGACAATCTAAACCCAGTGGTTCATCATAATTACTCTGCTTGGAGAGTGGCTCTTTTTAGCACACTTGTCTGAAATCTAGGTTACAAAGGCCTTGAGGATCAGGTTGTGGGTTTATACCTAAGGATGAGGTTCAAAGAGAGATAGCGGCCATATTTTTGTGAATTGCTAATTTCTTTAGGAAGAAGGGTGGGGAGAGGTTCAAAGAGAGATAGCGGCCATTTTTTTGTGAATTGCTAATTTCTTTAGGAAAATGTCCACAATGGAAATATCTTTTTAATTTATTCTGACATTCCAGGAGAAGTCACCAAGAAATGTGAAAATTACCCAATGACGTACACCTTGGCTAATTCCTGTGAAGGCTAGTATCCTTCTGTTGCTGGTAAATAACTTTTTTCTGTTATAGGAGTTGGATTATATAGTCAGCATAGACAGAAATTGCTATTCTGTTTATAATCTCTTATAACGCTGCATGTCAAGTGAGCAACGCTGGACTTATGATACACATTTTGCATGGTTCGATTAGAATGTGTTTCCTGCACCACTGTGTGCACGCACCGATACTCTCTCACATGCATTTGTGCACGTTCTTTGCAGTGCATGCTAGTTTGAAGATCTTTTGTTGATCTGTAACACCTTACTGACTCCAGGTTGAGAAATGTAAAAGCTGCAATTGAAATTGGCATTAATGGCCTGCAATTCAAGAATGCAAAGTTGCTGCGTCAAGATTTGTCTAAGATGGGGGTTGATATATCAACAGATGACGGCGATACAAATCATCAGTCGGAGCTTAAAGAAGAAAACACATCTTGATTTCTTGGTCCCCTCGTGAAGTTAGAATTTTCTTCAATTTTTTTTCATTTACTTTCCTAAAAAAAATTATTTTCTCACATCTTGATATCTTGGTCCACTCATAAAATAAATTTTCTTCAATTCTTTTTCATTTACTTTTTTTAATTTTATTTTCTGTGATATCTTGTTGCTGGAAATTGAGAATGTGAAGAGTTGAGAACCTCTTCTCTCGGATAGAAAAAAAGTGAAGAGAACCTCTTCTCTCGGATAGAAAAAAAGAATGAGAAGGAAGGAAGGAAGAAATGGATTCAATTTTATTCATAAAATCTTGAATCGTCAAGTAGTTATTCTGGAAAAAATGACAAGAATAAAAGTAACATGCGATCCTGCCAGAACATCAAGATATCTAGTTGCCAAAATCAAATCATTTGATGAGAGCATATGTGCAGGTCAACGTCTGGCTGTCCAGTACTTGTACGGTAAAACTTTATCTCTGATTCTATATTTATGGGTTTCATATGAAACCTAGAAAAGCTAAAATTTGACGAGATGATATTCCTGAAGCAATTGGGAACGTGGCCGTGGCTTCTTTTGTTTTTCACCTGTGTTTGTTTTGCGGTGAAACAAACACAATAAGAATAAGGTGTATGATAATAAATTAAATTGTGTTTTGTGTTGCAGGGTTTATTAAAAAATTGAGTTTAAAATATAGTTTCTGTGAAGTTTTTAGGTGTTTTAGTTGAATTTTGTAAAATCTATTTATTTTTTGCATTGCAAAAAAAATTTAAAAAAATTTAAAAGTTTTTAATTTTTTTCTTTGTTTTAAATTGATATGTTTTTATGTTTTTATTTTATTTTAATACACTAATATTAAAAATAATTTTAAAAAATATTATTTAAATATATTTTGAAATAAAAAACAATAACTATAATTCCACTAAATATTTTATTCATACTTTTTATTATACATAAATTTCAATTATAATTTTTACTTATCTAAATCTATCTAACCCTGAATTAAATCATAAACATAAAAACTATAAAAAAAAAAACACTCTAAACTAAAAAAAAACTAGTCAAGCACTTTTGCTCCACGAGCACTTGGTATCTGTAATAATTAAAGGGTTAAGCAAGCAAATGTACTGCATAGGAGAGGACAGGACATAAATTTAGTATCGGGCAGAACAAAATGTGTGGGAGTCTTCGTCTCACTCTAAGGCAACGTATAAGGGCAAAAAATTTAGTTTTTTTTTAATGAAGTTTTTTAATTATTTTAATATATTTATATCAAAAATAATTTTTAAAAATAAAAAAAATATTTTAATATATTTTTAAATAAAAAATATTTTAAACAACCACTACTATTACAATTCTCCACCACGAGTATAGTGGCTATTGGGGATGTTTCCCCCTTTTTTTATTATCATTTATCACATTTCATAACACCTTTTAAGCAATTTCAGATTTCTTCTCCTTTTATGCCCATGCCTGAACTCTGGTGTCTTAACTGGACATAAAAATTCCAGGGACAAATTGTTAGAGAGCTTGTTCCTTCTACTGCAAGTGTATTACTTAAGGCTTCCAAGAATTCAGATGATGGCAATGATATGGAAGTCTTATTGAGTGGGGTACCTGGCTCAAGCAAGAGGCGGCCAAGGGGAATGTTCCTCTCTTTAATGTTATTGTTCAATAGTCGAACCAGAACTATTGCAGTTATCATGTCATATCAGCTTCACATCTGCAAATGTAATGCTTGGAAACTCTTATACGGTGATTCATTATTGTTAATGGTTTCTGTATCCACCAGGTATTGTTCATTTCTTTATCCGGAGGCACAGTTGTGTTGTTTAAAACAGTATATAGATGCTTTTTGTAATTTAATGAAACACAAGTTTCACTAAAATTCTAGATATAATTAATTATTGACATCTGACATCCAATCTATTCAAAGTTAGAATGTAAGTGATCGTCCATATTCGGCCGTTGCTAGGCCACTGTGATTAAGTGCTAGCAGAGGGAAAGACATGTCCCTTAAGCATAAAAAAGTACTATTTTAAACAGTTTTATCTATTTATTTGCTATTACAGATTTCTGGAGAGTTTGATTTTACCAGAAGTTGAGTTATTCAGTGGTCATTACGGCCCTTTGGGCCATTGAAACTGGATACAGAGAGAGTTTTTTTCCACCGCCTGGAAGATGGCAATGAAACCCCGCTTGAGTTACAGGAGGCTTGCAGAAGATGGGGCGGTGAGAGTTTTGGCGAATGTTGTGGGTCGCTCCAAGAAATTGCCAATCGATGTCTCAGAGAAAGCTTCAGACGAAGAGCTCAAAAATGCTGAAGTAACATTTCTGCGTGTCCTTGAGCTTGAAATTGAATTTTTGAACATGAGCCATGGGGGGCCCTAAATGAGTTGGTTAGCCTGAAAACCTGACGGGTAAGGGTAAATAAGATTGTTGTTGTGAATCCTGGTGGTTTTAGTAGATGTACACTGTTTTTAAAGGATTTTTTATTTAAAATAATATTTTTATTTTTATTTTTTATCACAGTAAATTAAAGCAATCAAAAATTATAAAAAATATTAATTTAAAATACAAAATATTAATTTAAAATAAAAAATATTTTTAAAATACAAAAACGTAATGGCATTCTATTTTTCTGCTTCATACGGTGAAATTAATATGATGTTGGTTGTATCTTTATTAGAAAAGAAAATGCAGTCTCGAATTATTGGAGATCAAGACATACGGTGCTCATCAGAGAGACGTTGTGGTAGGAACGTCCACGTGGGTATTGCTCAATATTATATTATTGTAAGTCGTAGTTTTTAAAACTTTTATGATTTTTAATCATTTTATACCGTTATTTACACTTCAGCCCTTAAAGTTCATTTCTATTGTGTCTTGATCCCTAGTTCTCATGATTGGAGCATTAGTCTTCAAACCCGGACTGCCCGAAGTGTTAACTAGAACAGTGGGTTCGAGTTAACTACAACATTAAACTAGATTTTGCAAACGGATCAACAGCCAGTCTTGTCTGGGCCATGTAACTGGATATCATCAGACAAAATCTTTTCGCTCTAAAATGCCGTCTGGTTTGCTGGACTGGGTTGAATTTACTCAATGGCCTTGGGTATGAGGTCAACCCCCAACAATAAACACGACATTGATCTAAAACCTCTAGCCTTGTGGCAGGAAACACCATTTGTTTACATTATCAGAGGAAAAAAGAAAAGATAATGTCTGGTGACAAAAATCAGGCGAGAAACGTATTCCTCTTGATTACATCCAATCCAATAGAAAAATGTAGAAAAATGCATCAAAGCACTCGATTGTCTATCTTGAGCGCGAGTGTCAATCAATGTTGTTGCCAGATCTTGACTTTATATAAAATCCAATGCAGAGGGATTATGCCTGGCTCCTTGTATCAGTGTGAAGCCATGGACAGAAAACGATCGCAAATGTGATGCTATCCTTGGCAGCAACCATTAGAACAATCTGTCAACTTCATTAGCACAGGTGTCGTATTGTAGTAGATTATCAGTGTAAAACCTTCAAGTCAAGTCCGAAAATACGGGTTTTTTTTCTGCAATCTTGTAATTAGACAAGGAAATAATACATCTGTCCATACATTGCATCTGGCTTGGCTGGTGTCACAAGTAAATTTGGCAGCATGGATATGCTCGTGATAAGATCACGAGGATGCATTGAATTAGGAGATAAGATTAGACTGTCCCAATTATAAGTAAAATTCTATTCTCATGTACCAAACAAGCTGGTTGTTACAGAAAACTCATCACTTCAAATATTGGTTGCGAAATTAATTATAATATTGTCCAAGATACTTTCTTTCGTCTTCATGCCCGTCGTAGACTCCAGAAAATATGCAAAAACAAACTAATTCATTGAAATAGATGCCCAAGCGCAGCAGTCCAACACGAAAACTGAATTTCCATTCCTCTTTGATCATCTGTACATGATCAGCTCGTTGAACGATGGGGGACCATGAGACTTGGTCTCAAAAACCTTACCTAAAACGAACAGGCTGATTGTCATTGTCCACTCTCGTGAATCTACGAGTCATAACTGTGTGTGTTTATCGTTTATGGTTTATCATAAGTAGTTTTAAGATAAGAACGTCTCCCCTTTCGTATACGCCGACGAAATTAGCATTAGCGTGTTAGGAAAAAAAGAACAACGAAATTACTTACTTCATATGGAAGCAGTTCGTTGGTGCAGGACTGCAGGTGCACCATTTATGGCTGGCATAAGAAGGCTTATTTGACCTTTCTTGGATCACTGTTAGGAATATTTGGGTCTTATCCTTGCAAGGTCTTATCGTGAAGTTTAGACCTTATCGTTTGTCTGTAGACATAGCGTATTGCGTGCGTTGAAGTTGTTTTCTTTTAATTGTTTTTTTATTTAAAAATAAATTAAAAAATTATTTTTACAAAAAAATTATTTTTAATATTAACACATTAAAATAATTTAAAATAATAATTTTAAATTAAAAATTAAATTTTAATCCACCCCTATTTTAGTTTTAATCCCTTAGCCCTTTATTATTTTTAATTTTTTTAATTTTTTTCTCTATCCTCTCTATACACAAATTTCAAGGAGAATAGAAGAGAGAGAAAAAACAAAAAAAAACCTAAAAATATATTAAAATTCTAATAATAATATCACTGATATTATTAAAAAAAAATTAATGAGATAAATATAATAATATCAAGAAAAGTCATCAACGATTACTAGAGTATATTATATAAGCTATTTGAAAGCAAATAAATTTTGACATATTTGAAGATATCAAGTGGCTCATTTTAATTATTGTTGGTGATTTTTTTAATATTTTTAAATTTATTTTATCAATATTTTTTTATTAATACTAATAGTGTTATCGGGATTTTGGTATATCTTCAAGGTCCTTTTATTTCTTTTTTTATTTTTTTTTCATCTTCTTTTTTTATTATAAATTATGTCAATATATTTTTATAATTTAATAGAGTCACATATAACAAGTTACATAAATTATCTACAATTCTTTAAATTATGTTATTTTTTAATTGTCTTTTTTGTAATAAGTTATTTTATCTATTTTTTTAATGAAAAAAAAAAACTCAAATTTCTTGAACCAGAAAAAAATAATGAACCTAATAACAAAGAAAACAAAAACTTTATTCTATAAAAATATACAAAACCGAAACAAATGCGAACAGCATAACCAGAGAAATCAAAAGCTCAATCCCAAGACGATAAATCATGGAAATAAAACTAGAACAACTAAACTTTGAACATCCCAGAAGTTGTGATGGACTTCACTGAACCATGAACTTGCCATGGGTTCAAAAATCGGTCTGAAACTTTTAGATCCTGATCAGATTCAATGACATTATAACTTGCAAGAACTTGTTGCAAGTTCTTCAAATATTCCGCCAACTTCAACTTTTCATCCGTCAAAACTTTGTTGTCTGATTCGAGAGCAAAATGCCTTTGCCGAAGTGCAGCATATTTTTCATTGTCTTCATGTATCTTTCTCTCCAAAATAGATTTTTCAGTGACCAAATCTTCCATATGCTTTTGCCTCTTCATTCTCGACCGCCTTGCAGATTCTCTATTTGAGATCATTCTTTTTCTTCTCTTCTCATCAACCATAGCACTTGGTGGGTCAATTTCAGAGCCTGACGAACCTGCCTTTGCAAACGATGATGGCATTTTCTTGATTAATCACTGGAATTATTATAATATATAACTACGGTTGCTAGCTAGCCTTAAATAATGTTAATGTAAATGTTGTTGTATGAGGCTGAAAATTAGACAAGTTCAAGAAAAGACATAGAACCAATACAGAAGTGCAACTGATATTGAATTGGAAATTTTCATTCGACAGAACAGTCTGAGATGGTTCATATCATGAGTAGCGATGCAAGAAAGGTCTATGATTTTGAAAACATGACTAAAATCCTGTGAATAAGAAAAAGGAAAGGGAAGGAAAATCCAGAAAGAGTTAATTAATGGAGGAGGAACAAGGAAAGGTGCGGAGGTTTTGAAAATTCTGCAATGGGTTATTTATAGATAGGATTTCGAGTATAGAAAGGAAAGGAATCTTCCAGTGGGGGAAGAAAATAATCTTGTGGCTGCAATCGATTTCCAGTTGTATTAATGGCAAATATTCAACAAATCTTGCTGTTGATAGCTCATAACACAAAGCTTCGAGATATTCCTTCATAGCTGTACTGTTCTTACCGGATAAGATTGACCACTAAAATTTCTAGATTGTTTTTTTTTTGGTTGACTAAAAATTCTAGTTGGGAAAACGATAGAGGCAGGTATTTGATCAAATGACAATAACGGGATCCCGGGGATATGGAAAGGACCTATAAATAAATCACCTATATTTAAACCAAATTATACACATCTCAACTAATCATTTCTTTTATTATCATGAAACGTCTGAAGTTCAGGCAAGCATGTCATCATACTCTAGCTAATGCTATACTTCTTCTTAAATAAATGACACAGCAGCGTCGTTTTTGTTGCACAGCCTGTAACTCTAATTTCAATATTACTTGAAATGATAAATCACCAACATGCCAATCTTGGATTTTTTTTAAAGAATGATTCAGATTAATATTTTTTATTGTTTTAAAAATATCATTTTAATATATTTTTAAGTAGAATTAAATTTAAAAAAATCAATTATGTGGCTAATTCTCAATGTATCACTGTCCTGTACTGTTTATAGTATAAAGGAAGTGGCTGAAGGTAAGGATTGTCTCAGACTCTGGATCGACACTAATGGCTAAAACCCACTGGAACGTGAGCCAGCGCTTTAAGCCTTTAGGGCCCTTTGAGGTTACAAGGACCCAAAAAGCTAATTTTACTTCCATCACTGAAGTGCATGGCATCCGGGTCAGGATTATCACCTGGTCCCAGGCCATATAAACCTTAGAAAAAAATCAAAAATAAAATAAAATAAAATTTCCCGTAGGGATTAAAGAAAATTAGCTTCTTTAATCAGATCCGTTGTTGTAGGATCTGGTCAAAGAAGCAAGGACCGGATCGAACAGCAACGGATCCATACGCCAATTCTGACAAACTACAAGTACTTCAATCTTCACATGAATTATTATCTTTAACAAAAACCTAAACTTAGGAGGATAATTACTGGGCACCAAGATACATAACAATACAATGACAAGATTTCATTTAAAATTTTTATTTTAGATTTAGTTTTTATTATTTTTTTATTTTTTTATTTAGAATAATTTTAAAAAATTAATTTTTTTTTCAATTTGATCCTTATTTATTTTTTTTCTTTTTATCTTTTAAATTTAATCCTCACTCTCTTAATTTTTATTTATTTTATACGAGATAATGTTTTAAATTGAATTTTTTAATAATTTTATTATCTTTGAGTTTTATTTTCTATTAAATTTAATCTTTATTCTTTTAATTGTTATTTTTTTATAATTTTATAATTTAATATTAGATTGGTTGATAATTGAACTTTTTAATTGAACCTTAATATAAAGTTTAACGAATTGCAAGTTTTGAAGATCAACCTACATCTAGAAAGTTTGTTGGGGTTTCTTTGTTTTTTCCTCTACTTAAACTTATATTTTTTAAGTTTCATCATTTATTAAATTTGAGATTGAGTGTCATTATTTGTTTCAAAAAATTAATAATTTTAAAAATAATTTAGGTTATTTTGGATCTTTTTATTTAATTTTCTTTGTTGAATATTTTTTAGCTAACATTTAAATTAATATTCTTTTATTCTATTATTTAACATTAAATTGGTTATTAATTGAGATTTTTAATTTAACTCATGTCTAAGATTTAACGGGTTATGAGTTTAAGATATCAACTAAAATTTAAAAGGTTCTTTTGGTTTTGTTTATTCTTTTTTAAGCTCGTATTTTTTTAGTTTCAACCTTTATCA